AGGTGAGGGTGAGGGTCAGATGTTCGAGTCTCAATATCTCAAGGCAGGAAAATTCATTAGGATCGAATTTTTTCCCGTCGTACTACTATGACCATGGGCTACCAGTGTGGCAAGTTTCAAGTCAAAACTCGAAAGTCGGATTTTGCTCGAAATCCAAGCTCTATAGGCAAAAACTGACTAAAAATTCAATGTCTCAGCAACAAAGCACCATGGGAATAAATCAAGTTGAGGTATTTGATTACTCGTTAGAGTCTTTCTAACAAAAACAGTCCCAACCGAAAATCGATTTATCACCTTAGGTGGTTCCCTCGTCAATTCTCTGTCACTACGAAAAGAAAAGTAACATCGGATTGTTTTCCTGCTTATGCCTAGCTGTTTTATCCAGCGAGAATAAGTACGACGGAATGCACGATTCATTTCATATCTCGCCAAAATTTGTTAGATCTAACAAAAACGAAGTTTCTCGACTTTTCTGTAAAAAGTTGTAGAATAATTATAACTTTAAAGTAAAGTTGGAATCTTCTATGGATCATTTCAATCTCAACATACTTTGGTAGAATGCATGATACTTTAATCATGCTAAGGTGTTCCAAGGAAAACAAAACAAAGATGAATTTTGACGGATGGTAAATAGCAGACTGATACTTCAGAGTTTCATAACAAAGTTTCAAAAAACGATTAGAAATAGACTCATAACATCTCTTTAGTAACTCGATACTGTCAACTATTTTTTAATCCTTCTTTTATCTTTGCTAATGGGATGAGTAATTGGGTGCAATATTTACATATTTCAGTTTGAAAATGGTTCGATTACTACATGAAAAAGGTTAATTTATCAGTAATATCTCTGCCTATTTCAATTCTTTCTTTTCTATACTACATCTATAGGTGAACTAAATGAATATTGTTTGCCTAAACGACAAAATCTCGACACACTTGTGATAAATGATGAAGAAGTGTCTAATGAAGAGCAAAATGAGAAGAGACCAGATATTATCGATAAACAGGTAGAAAGAAAATTAATTTTAGCAATTTTAGTAGAGTTATGGATTTGTTACTGTTTTTTAGATTGCTATATGTCCGTGCTCACTGCACGATGATAATAATAATAATTGCTGGCATCTGTATCAAATAATCATGATATCGTCGGATGGTACTATATTTAGAAAAGAACTGGGTTTTGTTGTTCCATTTCAAATGTCTAACGTAAATTAATGACTAATATTCTTTATCATAATGTATATAACTGCTGTTAAGAATATTATTCTATTTAAATTTTATAATAACAAAATTAAAATATCAACACTCAGTCTTACGTGGAAACGTTCTCAGCTGACACCTCCATTTTCGTTCATTCATATCTCAATTGATAGTATTCATATCAAGATAGTAAAAAGCCTAAAAAGATTCGTCCCGAGGGTTGTTGAAGATCCGGTTTTTCAGAAACTGTAAAAAGTAACCAAAACCTTTTCTTAATAAGGCATAATTGTAGCTCGTGCATTTCGGATTAAAATGAGACATCTTCCAGCTCTACACGACCTTTCTTTGCAAAGTTATAGAATTTACAAGAAAAGCCCTAAATTAAGTTCTTCTTATTTTCTTTGAGCATGAACATTTAGGGCTTTTCTTGTAAATTCTGTAACTTTGTAAAGAAAGATCGTGTAGAGTCTCATTTTAATCCGAAATGTGCGGACTACAATTATGACTTGTCAGGAAAGATTTTGGTTATTTTTTAGAGTTTCTAAAAAACTGGTTTTCCAGAACACCAGGTCTTTAGTAGAATTTCAAGAGAAGAAAAATCCTTTTAAATTTTTTAATATGTCGATATACTCTATCGATTGAGATATGAATGAATCAAAACCGCAGGTGTCACCTGAGAACGTTTCCTCGTTAGATCACACATTATGATGTCAATGACCAAAATTTCTTTTTCTAATATTAGTTTTCCGTTCACTCTATTTGTTTCCTAAAATCATAATGATTTTGTGTTCTTCACTTGCAGTTATATACTATATTTAGTCATCATATCAATGTCTACTGTATATTTATCGATTATTTCATCTTTGTTTTAGCTGTGTACATTTAATATTTATGATACGAATGAAATATATACAGTTAAAGTTGTATATGTCGATGAAATTGATTACAATACTTATCAAAGTGTAATTAATTCATTTTGTCCATTTCTGTTTGAAAAAATATTTACTTTTGATAAAGAGACTCTAAAATATGATCCATGTCAATCGTCGTATAAAATGTTGCCCTGTTTACTTGACGATTGTAAGTAAAAAGAAGACAAAGAATATTTTATTTTCTTAGATAGATGATAGATTTTTCTTTAGTGAATAGAATTGATATTGTACGAATGAGTGAAATGATTGAACGAGCACAAATAACTGTAAAAGATAATTTAAATTTAAATGAGAATGATATTTATGTATATTCTGTACCAAATTCAAATAAAAAATTTTCTCTTATCCTTGATCCGGATACTTGTGATACTTCATTAAAAACAGGTAACAGTTTAGCTCATAATGGTGAAACATATGTGGACTTTTATAAACAAAAATATGGATTAATACTCAAACATCCTGATATGCCCATGGTTCGTTTAAAATTTGCTGATCGATTAACAATACATTTTTTATATCGTGATCATGAGATTAGTAAAAAAACAAAAACATCTGATCATGAATCAATGTATTATCCAATTGAGATGTTAACTTATGCTGCTTTAAATAAACAAGATTTTCAATTATTTAATAAAATACCGTCAATTTTTACACGTATTACACAATTGTATCATATTGAACATTTACGTCAATATATCGGTGAAAATCTTAATCATTATAAGGTAGAGACGACATTTATTAGTAATAAGTTAAAATTACTTAATTTTGAAAATTTAACTTTCATTTTAGTTATCAACTGTTGCAGCTGAAGACACATCATCAGTGACGTTTCAAGATTGTTTAAGAAATAGTGGTAATTAATTGAAATGCCGCGATATTTCTTGTTATAATTCATTTTTTTGTTTTTTCTTTTCGCTATAGTTCCTCATAGTAGTATGAATAATAATCATGTTACATCGACAATACAAACGGTAAGACAATGTTTTCTATCGAAAGAATTTTTTTTTATATTAGAAATTAATGAGTTATTTTAGCTAAAATTGCCACTTATTGATTTGACCTACGATAATCTTTTGTCTACTTCATTAATTAATCATCATAATCAATTAACACCTCACATACTATTTCAAGCAATTACACGTCGTTCGACTGGTGAAAAAACGGATATGGAAAATTTAGAAATATTAGGTGATTGTTTTTTAAAATTAGCTATATCATTATCAATGTATTATAAATATTCACAAGAAAGTGCCGGATATTTAACAGTAAATAAAACACGTTTTATTTCAAATTTAACATTGTATCGTCAAATGATAAAAAAAAATTTAAAATCCTATTTATATACACAAAAAATTGTTTATCGTGGTAAAGAAGCAAACTGGTTACCACCTGGCTATATTGTCATGAAAGAAAATATTGAGGAGTCGAATAATAATAATAATAATAATATTTATGAATTGGGTAATAGAAGGTACGTTAAACAAGTGGCTAAACGAAAAGCATTTGCCGATATGGCCGAAAGTTTAATTGGTGCAATATTAATAACAAGTGGATATAGTTCTGCAATGAAATTTATGAACTGGCTAGGTTTAGATGTATTTCCAGAAGATGAAAATGGTATAGATTTTTCTTTTGACTGCCTAACACTTCGTCACGTTCCGAAAACCTCGTCTTTTGTTTGATACGAAAGCTGCGTAAAAGCTATTTACATGGCTTTCGGAACGATTTTCGCTAAAATACGCGACTTTCGCATAGGATTTTACAGGCCTTTCGTAACCCAATCCTTATAATAGTTGATATCTCAGATATCTCACCAGCACAGGGTCAATGAAAATACAGGGTTTTCGTAAGAGATTTTGACAGACCTTTCGCGCCGAAGGGTACAGGAGGATACAGGGCTTTCGTAAGATAACTCTTACTACAGTTCTTCGACTCCTTGGCTTTGATAACGAATAAGTCGACCTAGCCCATGAGAAAAGTTGAATTTTCTATATTAACTGGAACGGATGTCAAATACGAAAAACCTATCGAGACAATAAGAGCGCTTAGTTTTCGACTTTTAAGCTTTATTTTCCAACAAGATCTCTGTATCAGCTGTTGAATGACGTTTCTTGAATCATCACGCAAAAGCATAGACAACAATTCAACGAGTGACTTGTGCATTTCTATCCGAAACCCCTGTTTTCTTGTTAGTGAGTGCCTATTCATGCATGATTCTACCGTTCCTTTTCCCTGTGAAAGAGTAAGCACTCTTCATTATGAAAGCCCTGTAGAAGTCTTGTACAAAAGCCGCTTAAAAATGTGGATACGAAAGGCCCGTACAATACCGATACGAAATTCTTGAAAGAGCATCTTAGAATGGACTTGGCACATAATTATTTCGTTACGAAAGCCGCGTATGCAATTTTAACTGGTTACAAAACCCGCGTATTTTTTGGGTACCACGTGACGAGATGATAGATTACTTTTCTTTTTTATACAACAATTTTATTTCGTAATTTTGTCTTCTCTAGGTCAAATTGTATCATTACCATCGATTGTTTGTAATGATCAATGTACAAGTTTGATTAATGATTTTTATCATCAAAATAAATTTGAAAATGTTGAACAACGTTTGAAATATACATTTAAAAATAAAGCATATCTTATTGCAGCACTCACTCATCCATCAAATTTTGCCAATAGATTAACTGTTTGTTATGAACGGTAGAGAAAATAATCAATTGTTCTAGAAATAAAATTACATTAGTTTTTACTATTTTAGATTAGAGTTTTTAGGTGATGCTGTTCTTGATTATTTAGTAACACGAGAAATATTTATAAAAAATGAAAATATTACACCAAGTATAATGATAATCTGTACATTTTGATATTTATCTATTTATTTTATTTATTTATTTTGAGGTATTATTACAGATATTCGTCAAGATCTAGCTAATAACGGACGCTTAGCATATATATTTGTTGCGCTTGATCTTCAATCATTTATTTTACATCATTCACCATCGCTATTTGTAGAAATATCATCGTATGTTTCACAATTTGAACAAAATGAATCGCTCGATAAACGTTTAAATAGTGTATGATTTATATCAATTTTTATTCTAAAAACATTACGTGTGTTTATTATTTTTTAGAATATTTCATCGTATGCTGATAGTAGAGCTCCAAAAGCTTTGGCTGATGTTTTCGAAGCGATTGTTGGTGCCATATTTTTTGATTCTGGAAATTCTTTACAAATTGTATGGAACGTATTTGAACCATTTTTCAGAAATTATATTGGTACGAATTGAATTGAACTAAATTGTGGACATAGTGTGCGTGTGTGTATTTCCCTAATTGATAATTTTTCTTTATCAGAGCGATCTATGAACAGTCCAAATTTGAATCCGATACGATATGTTACTGAACATGGAGGAAAAGTGATCAAGTACTTATCTCATTTTCTAATTTTACTATTTATTTAAATTTAAATAGTGTATGTTTTAGTGAAAATCAAGATGAACAAAATGGTTCTGTGTGTATTGTTGAATTTCTTAATGGTAAGAAATATGAAGGTACTGGTAAAAATAAAAAATTAGCAAAATTTGATGCGTGTCGAAAAGCAGTAATGGAAATGTCAAACGAACAACAATAATAACAATCATTCGAACAATTTTTTTGTTTCAATTTAAAAATATTTATTTTCTTTTTCGCATCATCATAGTCACAATGATAACTGAAATGAAGAAAACTCTTCTAAACCTAAAAGATTTTGAAAACACAAAAAGGGGGTTCTTATCATCACTCTAAAACAGAAAGATTCTTGCTATTTCTTTGGAAATCACAACGATTTATCAAATGAAAAATATATAGTTGCTTTCATCATACAAAATGACTTGAGTTAACTTTTTCCTTGGTATAAGGTCGTCCACGAACTACTATTGGTTTCAAAATATAGCGAAGTGTCTCATTTATTGAATGAATTTTTGTTAGAAACAGATAAAACCATGCAGCTTTTATCACTGAAAGAAGAACACTTTTGCTATGAAACGATGAGAAAAGTCAAGCCTAACCATCCCCCGCAGGTGGTGTATCCTATCCATCTTTCAACGAGTTGATCGCTAAGCCACATAGATTCAATGAATTTGAAATGTAAATTTGATCGTTCGACAGCTTGGACAGTGACCTACAAGTCTGTGAAAGTCCCATCTCTCTAGTTCATATGATTCAGGAGCTACATCGAATGTTCGAAAGGATGCCTATCTGACGCATTGGACATAGGCTATCGTCCCTAGAGAACAACGTGGCAATCTTTTATTTCCTTCACCGAGTTGATTGAAGTTCAGAAGACGTGTTTTTCGAAAAACTAGGTTTTTTGTCTATTAACCATGAAAGAATAAGGTTGTCTGTGATTTCCATAGACTTGTAGGCCCACTGTCTAAGCTATCAAATAATCAAATTTATATTTGAAATTCATTGGTCTATATGGCTTAGCGAACAACTCGTTGAAAGATGGATGAGGTACACAACCTGCGGGGATAGTTCCGCTTGACTTTTCTCAACATTTCATAGCAAAAAGTGTTTTCTTTTCAGCGATAACAGCTGCATGATTATCTGTTTCTAACAGATAAAATCCATTCAACAATTCATTCAATACATGAGAAACTCCGCTGTATTTTGAAATTAATAGTGGATACAGGCGTGTTGATCAAGGCTGATTTCTTAACTATCAGTTTGATTCAGCTGGAAGTCGAAAACTAAAGGCTTTTAACATTGCTCGTTCCTACAGGCATGTCAGAGTACTTCCATCTCTAACACAGTTAACACATCGGGAATAGGTTCAGAAATTGTAGAGTAAGCTTATATCTAAGCCGGATAGTATTCAGCCGGATATTAAGTGAAAACACGAAAGCGCACTTTTCCTAAAGTCAAATAGAAGAAAATATACAAATTAATCAAAAACAGTAGGGGCTGTTTCCTATAGAAATCACCCTCTCCTTTTACACAATATCGCGATATAGTTTCAGTTACTGACCGAAAAAATCCTCATGGATTAGTAAAATTACTATCCATCCCAAAATACAAGACCCGTGCGTATGTTTTGAATAACTTTTGATAGGAATGAGATAGAGACCTACAATTTTCGCTGTTCAATAGCCAAGACTTGAGCAGAACTTTTCACAAGCGGAAACAGCTTTTGAAAAAATTCCAGAGATAGGGTTTTCAGAGGATCTTTGGAAAACCAGCTCCGTTCTCAGAAAACTAACATACAATGTTAGTAATTTTTTTGCATGCGTAGATAGTCCGGACGTTACTCTACAAAATTATGCAAGTCCCGGCTCTC